AGTTTTGCTTATATGGCTGTAAATATGGCGTCAATTTTAAAGCAACATTGTCATTGATAATTGTATTTTAATTGACAATTTTTAACTATTATTTTGTTTCTCAACCGGAAGATGCATTTAAAAAGGTAGCTAGCTTACTCTATAAACTAGAGAATAAACCTAAAACAAAGTAATTTTGAGAGGAACGCCAAAAAGATTTTAGGTTTTGAGCAATTTTCATTGCAAATGTTGTTGTTGTTGTTGTTGTTGTTGTTGTTGTTGTTGTTGTTGTTGTTGTTGTTGTTGTTGTTGTTGTTGTTGTTGTTGTTGTTGTTGTTGTTGTTGTTGTTGTTGTTGTCTTAATCAATCAAATACGTACTGAGCCAGTGATAGGTAGTGCTAGCGGTAGTGGAAATAAAATATGAACATCTCTACTACCTACACAGGCACCGACCGTTCGAGACTAGGCCTATATCATTTGTAGAATTGTAGATCGAATTTAAATTAGAGAGGTTTAGCTTTAACTACGAGTACGACAACGAGTACGACAACGAGTACGACAACGAGTACGAGATTTGTTGTTTAGTACGAACGGCAACGAGTGTTTAAAACTAAAAAACTTCCATAACAAAGCGTCTAAAACAATTTCAAATACTTTCGCTTTTGAAAACTGATTCAGTTGGTAAAGGCAGCAACAAACCAGTAAATTCCTGAAACAGACTCGTTATCCGAGTAGGAGATTTGTTTAATTAAAATCTCGTGCTCAACAACAGGTCGACTACAGCTTAATAATTGCCAAAGTCAACAGAAAGCTGGCTATACTTTTTGCGGGAAAAATCTTGTATACTTGTTGTCGTGCTCGTAGTCAAAACTGAACCTCCTTATTATCATATACAAGTACCTCTAAAATCATAAAAATTTCCGCCTCCGTTTCCACAACTTCATAAAGTTGACAAATATTTTGATGACACAACTCTTTCATGGTGGCAATTTCAGTGTAAACACGTGGTAGATCATGCTGTAACAAAAACACAAAGTCAAATCACGAGTCAAATCATGAAACTAGGCATTTGTCTCAAATTGTAACATCTCCTTTATTTTTTTTATTTTCGGGTGTTCTCTTGGTCTAGGTTGTATCATTGTAAAAGAGTTAACATTAATTTTGTCTTGTGCTATGATCAGTCCGGACTCAGAAGGACCAAAAATGTTGACATAATATGCTGAACGCCTATTAACAGGTAATTTATTACAATATTACATGAAAAACATAATCCGGCAATTTAGTAAATAATGTCATGCTTGTAGATTATATTTTTGCAGAGGTAGCCGCCAATCCTCGAATCTGGAGCTTTGTCCACGCCGGCGCAGCCATTAACTCCAGGCTTAGATGACTATCTCCACATGATTATTTTTAGTTTTTAACCAGTAAGTGTTAGCTAGTAAGGAGATTTGGAAAGATAGTTCCACCGCCTAAAATTAACCTCTAATTCCTGAGCTCACGATTCAACAAAGTTTTGAAAATTGAATTTGGAGCTCGAGTTAGTTCCTTACAGTTATGAAGATAGCGTCACCCCAAGGCAGTCATGAGTAATGTTAGGACCATTGCAAGCCTCAGATATCAAAATAGTGAGCTTAAGCAAGTGACGTTTTTGACAACACGAACGGCATGAGTAACGTCAGAAGACTGGGTCAAGGGTTGTGATTGGTGAAAAACGTCAACTTTACTTCCGGTCGACGTCCGTGTTGTCAAAAACGTCGCTTGCTTAAGCTCACTAATAATACAAACCGCAAGAGCTTCTTTCGTCATCATTTTTATGGCGACCTACAAAATTTACAGCATTAGATATATCACTGCATTATCACCACATGCAACACATTAGGCTACTAATGAGGGTCTCCCAGGGGGTGCGAGGTCTGTGTTCTCACCATGTTTCACCATGTTCTCATGTTCACCAAGCTTACATAGTTTCGATATTTTTGGGTTTATTCACTTGTTTCCGTGGCAAAATATGCCTTCTTCCCCAGAAACCCCTGGGATACACGCTCGACATTTATACCATCTATAAAGTTATGGCGGAAAAAGAGTTAAGAACTGTCTATATATGATCTACGGAGATCGGTTCCGACACTGGATTTGTCAGAACAAATATATTCTATGTGGAAAATCGTTACGAAACTTGTAATATTGAAAACCTGTAAATTGGACCTTAAGTAGTATACAGCATTTCAGGTTTCCGATCAACCTGTTGGGATATGTAATTGAAAGATTTTCCAATTTTAGTTACCGCAATATGATTTTAATATTCGTCTAGTTTAATTACATGTATGTTTGTCGTTCTTAATCGACCATGTTTAGTCGTCTTTATGATCCCACCACTCTAATTTATGAAGCATGCATGGGAATGAAACCTGAAACCATCCGTATTTTGTACTAAAATGAACTTCTCTTTATTATTTATTTGAGGTGGTTCCCTCCTGTTTTTAACAACTGGAAGTTTTCGACCTAGGGCTGAATTTTTGACCAGTTGTCACTCGTTGAAAAGCGAATAGTAATAAAACGCCTATAGTATGAAATTTTTACAAAAATGACGTCACTGCCGTTGCAATGATAAGCATGACATTTCAATTATTTTCACTAATTGGAAAAGTTCGGCCATATTGAAATCGCTATATATAGCAACCGCACTGACGTCATTTTTGCTAAAAATGTTATACTCTTTAGACAACATTTTCTATAACTCGGATACCATTTGCTTTCAACAAGTAACCAGTGTTCAAAAATTCCATCCTAAATGGTAAATAGCGAGTCACCTTAACGACTGTTCAAAATATGTCCCACGATATTTTAAAAAATCTTCCCCATACTGTAAAAGTATTCTTATTTAAGCACAACTCACTACCGTAACTTAAATAATTTAATTATTGCGACTTCTCATTTATACCTTTTCATTTGTCAGACGATGAGTGGCGAGCTTCACCTTGGCAAACCCTCCTAAAGAGAATTATTTTGTTGAAAGTTGTTTTTGAGAGACGTTTACTGTAGAATTTGTTGATATTAGTTAACATTACCTTTCTCTGAAATGGACATACAGATACATGTATACCTGCGGTAACGTTAGGTTAGGTTAGGTTAGGTTAGGTCAAGAAAGAAAACTTAAAAATCCGTATTGTCGAACCAGCACTTTCCAAGCATACTATTTCAACCGTATAGTCGAGCTCTGGAACAATATTTTACTCATGTACTAGCTGCACCGAATAATTTTTCAGTGTGTCGCTCTTTGAAAGTTTGTCAATCACTTATATATTTATACTGGGTTAACGGAACTTTCGCATTGTCTGTGCGTTGCACAGGGCGCTGCATGGGACTGCTTTTGCCATACGTCATAGAGTGAACTCTGAGGTTAAGCCCCTTCAAACTAATAATTAGAGGCAAGTGATGATGGTTAACAATAAGCCGTTATCTTTATATCTTTCGTCATTTGCTTCGGTTTGTTCGTTCTGTTCTATGTTATTAACAAGTACTCGTCGCTTTATATATGCTGTTCATTCTGTAATTGTTACGAGAGGTGACTTATCGTCTCGTTCGCATCTTCAGTCCTTTTGGGCTATTGAAAAATCTATGCTTGTGTTATATCTTTTTAATGTAACGCTGTAGCCCAATAAAGTTGTTATGAGGAAAACGTAAACATGTGATCAGTGACGTCACGCGCATGTTTTACTTACGGCTTATAGCAACAAGCCCTTAACCGGACAACTGGATTTTCAAAAATTTTTTAAAAAAGGAGTTGAATTAACTCCAAAAGTATTATCCTCAATATCCTGTCACAGTTTTAATAACACTTTTGATCCAATTCCTTGAAATTAACAGTGAAGATAGGCAGACTAAAATCTGTTGTTTTGTTGTCCGAGAACCATGCATGGAATCGGAAGTTTTGCTCTGTTTTTATTTGCTAGTAGAAAAAATCCTGCATGGCGGGCTCCTTTCTATGAGCAGACGGAGACGATCACCTCTAAACTGTTTAGTTTTCATTCCTTTTGCTTTTACAAATTTTGTTCGGCTATTTGTATTTTGTCAGCAAATATAAAGAGAAAAACATCAAATAAGAACTGGTCAATTTTACGCGTAAAACTATGTAGACAAAATGTGTTTTGCTGTTAATTCAGACAACATTTATTTGCCGTTATTGTCCCGTTGTATGTTGTTAGCTGGCTTTTGCACTTCGTAGAATGTTTTTTTCTTAGTGCATGAAACACATATACAATATATAGTGCAGTATTCTCGAATGCACGCGTATACTATTAGTATTAGCCACTCAAATTTCGCTTTATATCCAACTTATTATTATATTACTGGACAAACCAATATATTTTCGTTCGATACCTTTGAAGATTATTATAGGTCGATACCGATGCCTATTTCGACACCAAACCGAGTTCAATATTTCATTTTTTGATACGAGAAGTGAGAATTAAAACCGCTATGCATGGTATCAATCACTTTCGACATATATCTGTTGGTCAGCGGGAAAATAATTTTCATTACTCTATGTAAGCTATGTATACACAAAGTTGTAAGTAAACCAACAACTCAAATTTTGAATAATTAAGAAAAGGTAGAAAATATTTTTAATTTGAAAGCAATATATAGCTCCCGTAACTAAAATAGTTAGCCTACGGGAGCTGTATACAAGAAAAATTCACTATGTTTCTTAGTATATTGTGTTTACACTATAACGGAGTGGTTTGCCGTAGCATATATTACGTTTGGCACTCCGGATGCAAATCACTACGCTACGGTAAATTTGCTGTAGCGACTAGCGTCGTAGTGACATTATAGCGTAAACGCGGCCTAAACCAAAACAGCATTTGCAAGCTTTTAGTAATTTTATTAATTATAAATAGCTTTAAAGAATAGCTTATTATAGCTACATACACTTTTAATTAAACAAAAAAATCAGGCTTTCTTTGTGTTTGGTGGAAGTTGGAACTGCAGCTTCATATAGTAAAAAAAAATGCTCGTCTGCCACCGCAGCAAAACGGGAAGACATTTTGTTTTTGGCCAGAGGTGAATAGTGCAAGGGCAACCAATATCCAACCTCCCGGCTATATGTTAATAAAGTTATTTTTAATTAGTGCTTTATGAATTATGAGTGTCTTCATTTAACCGATAAATGAAATCAAACAAATCACTGAAAAAACAAGCAAGTATCGAACAATATCACGTCAGTATTCAGTCGACACCGAGACCGCTATTTGTTGCATCACTGCATGGTAGCAAATAATACCGAGTATATGTAACTACTTACTGTAGTATCGCCCAGCACTACAACTGATATTAAAAATATTTCCATGGCATAGGTATAGAGGCATTAAAGTAATTCTCGATAGAGAGTATTAAACTTATTAAATTACAGTTATATAATAGACTAAGCTATTAACCATAGAAACAGCAAAATGCAAATATAAAAGTTTATAGAATACGTGATGTATACTGCAAAAACAGTTTTAATTTTTATTAATATATAACTAGAAGTAATGAGAACCCGCAAGAACAGCTGTCAAATCAGTGACTCTTTAACATTCAATATTTTATATTTACAATACCCGTGCCGTAAGTCGTAAACAAACAGACAGTTCCCTGTTTCATGTCTCGTGAATATGCACTGGCGACAGAAAGAATTTTAATTTCCTTATTCACAGCTTGATATAAACGACCACAGACATGGAACTCTCTTAAAGACAACTTAAAGTCAAGCAGCTTAAAATTAGGTTACATCATTTGTTCATACAGATTTCTATCTCCAAAACTATGCCAAGACATTAAAATTCTTGCACAAATTTTCCAGATTTGTTAACACACTCGCCGACACATGACTATAGCCTATACTTCCCTTTCAATTGCCTTTCAATAAACAATTTGTGCTATCGTTTTATAAAAAGCATTTAATTCAAACTGACATATAGTTGATTTTAACATTCCAAGATATTTCTTGACAGTTATCTATGAAACCTGTTCGTGTATCGTTACACTCGTTTTTGGAACAAAACATTGCGGCAATAAATTTTCCGCTGCCGGGATTAATGAGTGAATATTTATTGACCTTTCGAAATCATGAAACGGGAAAAAAAATCCGTGTCAGTCATGTTCGTTACAATGGAAATTTTCTAAACTTCATGACACAAATATATGTGTGATTTACTTTCAAGCGTTTTGTGGCAATCGGAATTTCGTCTAAAACGTTATTTTGTAAAATATTGACAACCTAAATTAAAATTGTACTTAAAATGTGTGATCATGTGCGGGTGTCGCAATTGGCATGCTTGACTTCCTTGTTGTTGGGCAGACGTACAAGCAAATTGCTTCGTATTTTTTATAAATATTTCCGATTTACGAGAATCCCCATTTGATTTTTCGATTGATTAAGTGTGGCTTTACATATAATGTGGTAAATGTAACAATGATTTACATTCAAAGACGCCTCAGAGTTCATGAATCGAACATTTTTATTCACAAACCGGAAGACTAAAATAAAATGCATACCATTTAGACATCACGATATACTTCAGTCGCGGTATTCACTAATCTTTTCTGTGATCTTTATCACCCGCGTAAAATTCGATTCAAGATCTGCTAGATCATTGTATGTAGCGTTTATATACTAAAAACGTTCAAGGCAGACAATCGAAGGCCGGTATTCGGTAAAATTCTCACCGCCATAAATTTGTATACCAAGCTGCGAACATCTGCCTTATTTTGCCGCATGAATCAACATGAATCTTGCCTGATGTAAAGGCATAGTTTATTCGGGTTTACATTCTTTGATGCGATTTGTAAAAGTTGTCACAAAATCATAGCATACCTTGATCATATACAGTATATCACTTGGAAAACAAGCTAAAAGTGAAACCTATAGTAGATTTTATTATGACTGTCTATTAATCTTGTATTTGTAATTGACTGCATGACCAAGTGTGTTTATATCGGTTAAAATAAACTAAAGTGCATAAAACCAGCTATGCCGCTTACTTACCACTTCCAATAGTCTCTTGTATATCGTAAACGTCTTTTAACTCGTCGGGGTAGACTGTATCCGGCATAATGAAATTATATTTGATAATGCTGCGAACGTAATTCTGATAACAAGTGTATACAAACACTGTCGACTTGCATATATGTACAATATACGTTTGTCAGTGAAAGCTCCTTGATGCACATTCACACGAATCTTCCAAGATAGATTATAAGCATGAACACACAAGAGAACGATAAATAAAAACCACAAGCTGAAATCAGTATCTTTGTATAATCAACAAACGCGATCTTCTGTGGTACGCTGTTGATCAAGTCATCTGAGCCTTGCACCCGCGGGTCAGTAGGTTTGAATGAAAATTCTCAACAGGCGGTCCAATCATATCACATCGTTACACCGCAGAAAATCGCGAGTAATTTATACCACAATTTTTGAATTGACCTTGGCAATGTTTACCAACTTTTTATTACACTTTTATCAAAGTTAACTAATTTGCCATAATTTGTATGCAGAAATCAGTGTACCACGCGTAGGAATATCTGGCATTTATATCGTATTTATTCACAACAGCAGGAATCAACAAAGGCGCGGATACGGACAAACGGACTAACGAGACAAGCAAGACAAGCAAGACAAGCTTGTTTTTTAATGACAGGTTTTCATATTACACATTTTATTGTCAATTGAACGTCATGTGTAAGTACAGAAAATTTTCTAAGACAGGTCTTTGAGGTTAGCCAATTATTTAGCTATATATTACAACAATAGATCGTTGACTAATTGCATGTAAGTGGTCCAATACTTTGCCAAGTTATCTTTGTTTGACCCGAACAGACGAACAAAATTTGTACTTTGCCAATGTTTTTTACAACTGTACTTGTTCAAAAGATGGAGGAATCTTAACTTTTGAGCAAGCGCACATGTTAAGTGCAAAAATTAGCAAAGTTGTCTATACAGACGAGCAAATAAACATATTGTCATAAGAAAACTTTCACAGAAAACTTGCTCGTCTGTGACCGGCTTAGAAGCGTGAAAATTGGATTTCAAGTTTAGACATTCTGTTGACCCTATAGAGTAAAAAAATGTAAGGCATCTTGTGGAAAAACCCGCAAAACACGTTAGTTCTTGAGGCAGAAGCGGTGAAAATTCCGCACAACAAAGCAATACGTATCAGCGGGAAAGTTTTCTACTTTATATTACTGTACAATTTAACAGCGAGGAGGAGGAGAACGGGGGGGGGGGGGAATTGGTATTAATGATCACTACAGTAGAACTGAGAAATGTGAGCGAAGCTTCAGAGCAACTAGCTAACTATATATTGTATCAGGTTTTTCAGCCCTTTCGGTCTAAAAATAGTAGCAGTTGTGTTACAGCACGCGGACAAATTTACAGGAAGGAAACGTGTGGAAGAATCTTTAATAAATTGTAATAAACTCACTTGAGTGAGATCCGTATTCCCTTGTTAATTTACATAAAATAAAGCCTGGTTCACACGATGAAATAAGCATAAGCACAAGCAGCGGAACCTTTGATGTGCATAAACGTAAGCATAAGAAGAACGCAACATTTGTTCTTCTTATGCTTACGTTTATGCACATCAAAGGTTCTGCTGCTTGTGCTTATGCTTATTTCATCGTGTGAACCAGGCTTAACGCACCGGCTAAATGTAACATGAGATGACTGTATCGAAATGATGGCCGGAACGGTTGCTTCTATGTCATACATTTTGAGTGGAAGATTTTACGACGTGCTGTATATATGCAAATGAATTGAAACTTTCACTACACCGGCAAATGAATGACATGGTGAAAATCCGGCCCCAGATTAACTTTTGTGTACTAAATTTTGCGTTTGAGTAGTTGGATTAATTGCAGTCTACTTAATCAATCAAATTAAAAGTTTATTATTCAATTTAAGCCGACATTGTGTTTAAAGGATAATCTCTTTCATTTCATAGTTTTGTGCAATTCAATGTTTCGTTATTGAAACCTATTGTAACTGTGTAAAATGTACCTACAAACATCCGTCATACATTCCTTTAAAACTTTCAAGAGAGGAGTCACTTGTGAATCCTGCAATCTCCATAGAGTCAGTAAAGGAATAACTTCTCTCTGATTGGCTGTACTGACTATCACTTGATGACTGATGTACAACGTCCGAACTTCGTGAAGCACACTGCTGACCTACAGCGCGAGAAGCGAATGCTCGTTGAACAATTGATCCACACGACCCTTGCTGATATTGTGTATTTTCCATAGATGACATCGTTTTTCTAGTATGTGACGTCTTCATTGGTTGCTTTTCGGCACGGTTGCGACGATCTGCTGACATTTGCTTGCAGAATACCGCCTGTTCCTCTGGCAATTTAACAATGAAATCTAGATTCTTGTCCCCGTGCTCTTTTGTATCTGGTTCGGCAGTTACTTTTCCTTTCGAATCCACCGACAAATGCCAAGCCAGATCATCGTCGTTCTTATGGCATGTTTCAAACTGACTGAAGAATTCCCCAGTTACATACTCTTTGAAAACACATTCTTTGCTTTCCGCTTTCTAAAGTGAAAGAAGATGAGTAGGTTAGCCAAAGGTAGAATGTGAGTTCAATGATACTCTCTAACATATGGGTATCTGTTGGTTCTGTAGCGAATGTCCGAGCACGTTCACAAGCCGTAAATGGCCGCACTGACTACTATACCACAAGGGCCAATATACCACAAGGGCCTTCTTGACGAAGGGCCTTCGCTCGAAATGTCGAGTTTCTGCTTGTTTTTTAAGGTAGTAATATAACCACTCAGCACAGCATATACCACAAGGCCTGTTATTAAATTAAACCAACTTGTTGTCATTTTTTAACGTTGTATAAAGGAAATGAGCCCATATATATCTGGAGCGACAACTCGAGTCCAAAAAGCGAAGCCAAAATGGCAGAAATTGAAGAACTATTGGACGTCAACCCAGTCCCTTTCTATTGTTTTTGTCTGCGCGGTCGAACACGAAGTTGCCATGAGTGCGCCGAAATTTCGTATTTTGACTTCGATGTAAAGACCAATGGTAAGTATGATTTTGTGAACCTGAAAACCAGGGATGTGCTGGCTAGGGATGAGATTACGAGAACTTGTTGTGGGCCCCTGCCATCATGGGACCCTAACTATGAAAACATTGTAAAAGATAAAAAATATAGATCTTAATTTTGCCAAGTCAAGATTAAGATATTACAATTTAAATTTTAATAATCACAATTTACAAAAATATTACCGAAGAATTAAAAAAATTACGGTACGGTTAATTCAAAAGTTACTGAAAAAATGGTTTGTCCGGATTTTTTTACTCGGCCTGGGCCCCATCATACGTTGCTCATTCGTCGTCCTTTTCAAGACCCAGCACATCCCTGCTGAAAACTAAATTAGCGTAGCTGTCCGTTATAGAAAACCCCCCAGAAATTCACTCTGGAAAATGGTATATAAACTGTTTGTGACCGTCATCTTGCATGGCTTCACTTTTGTAATGGGCCGAATGGCACGAGAAGCTCTTGCTCCAGACATATATATATATATATATATATATATATATATATATATATATATATATATATATATATATATATATATATATATATA